CTGTGGTGTGCAGTCTCCTCAGCACTCACAACACCATAGATAAAATCTTGTTCAGTGAAAAGTGATATGAATAAAAATAATGAGCTATGAAAACCTGTTTCAAGTTCTTTTAAAATAGAGATAAAGGTTTGTTGTGAGTAGCTGTGTGAATGCCAAGACAGTGAACATGATAATGGCAGAGGAAAAAACAAAAATACCTGCTCCCCAGAAAAATCCATGATCCTAGATGGGTTACTTAAAGGGTAGTACTGGACCACTTTTTAAATAAATGTTTTCAGAAAGTAAAATAGAAACCCTACTTGAAATTGCAGATGCCCTTTTTAAATCTCAGTTTGCATTTTCTGGATGTTCATTAGATGGACTTCTACCCTGAAGCAGGAATACCCAAGAAGAGACCTGCACCCCAGGTAACCAGAAGGCACCGCCTGGTGCTCACCTTTGTGCTGCAGTGGCCTCCAGGTGGCCTTGCAGATCTTTAGTGGTCTGTGGCCTGCAGACTAGGAATCACATGCACAAAAGTGTTTAGAAAGACAGACATAGGAAGAAAAGTGAGCTAGGTACTCACTACTTCTGTTACTCCTTACTGCAAAGGTAAAATGGAGTTTTTAAAAAGTGTCTGGAGACAATGAAGCCCTAATTTGCACAGCACAAATAGATACAAACACCTTCACTACCTTCTGTGTCCCTTCCACAGAGTTGGACTTGTTTCTAACAATGGAGAAAGATTTCTCCTTTTTAGTAGACTTCAGAGAACAGTGAGAAAGGAGAAGTTCAGCTTTTAATTGAGCTCTAGATCACCCACTGTGCCTGCAGGTACAAAGGAGGTGGCTGCACACAAACTACAGAGGTCACCTTTGGTCCTATATATTGCCACTGATGAAAACGTGTTAAGAAAGAAAACAAGAGTCAATATATTCTTTTCTTCAATGAATAACAGAAGTTTGTAAGAAAAGATGGATTCTTCATACTTTTTTAAACAGAATGAGAGGAGTTGCCTTTCACCCCATAGTCTCCTTTTCCTGTCTCCAAAAGAATCATACTCAGGTCACCAGCTCCTCAAACTGGGACTACTGCACAATCAGGAATTCTTGCACAGTCCTGCATTTCTTGAGAAATGACTGTGAGACCTGTATCATAATCCTGGCAGTGTCAGAGAACCAAGCTTTGCTAACCAGTGGACAAAAGATGTAGATACTTAGAATGTGACATCTGAATTCCTGAAACATAGGAAAAACCTTTTCTCTCTCAGAATGTCATTTATTGTTCAGGATGATCCTTTTTGGTTTAGTCTGAACCCTCTTGCTTCAAGTTCCATGAACACAAACAGATTTCTTAGGTTAGGAAAGACCATCTGCCTTTCTGCACCACTGAAAATTCAACACCCCAACATCCCATTACACTTGAGCTCTGTAATTCTGCTTGTGAAAAGAGCAGTGAAGGCATTACAAGAGACAGTTTCTATTTTTCCTCATTTCAACACTGCAGTGACTCAGTACACGAAAGGAGAGTTGATCTCTCTGGCAAGAGATGGTGCAACCAAAGAATCTGTCAGCTCATCCCTCGAAGGCCTCTGCAGCACACAGACCTAAAACAGTATTTTTACAGCATCATTGTTCTCCTCAGTAAATATAAAGTCACCCTGCTGCCTTCATGGTAAACAGAAAAATGATTACTCAGTGCATAAATAGCTAATTTTCTTTTACTAGAATCATAGTTATTAATAATTTCTGGATTTCATCTTCCTCTAAGATTACTGGTTCTGAGCATGAGGCACACAAAGGAAAGAGGAAGAGACCAAGACAGATAGAATTAGATTGAACAGTCCTGTCTCACTCAGCACTACAGCTCCCATGTACAGTTCTGCCTAGTCACACACAAGGCTGATTTAGAACAGGTTTCTTCTTGATGAAATTTCTTCATGGAAAGGGTTGGCATGAACTGCCCAGGGAGGTGGTGCAGTCACAATCTCTGGAGGTGTTCCAGAAATGACTGGACATTATATGATGATCTCAGAGGTTTTTTCCAACCTAAATGATTCTGTGATTCTGCAAACATTAAGATCTAACCTACTGTCCCTACAGTTTAGTCAGAAACTCCTGAGCTAGCTTTAAAGCAGGCAGCCCTTGCATGGCAGCAGCATGGGTCATGGCCTTGGGTCAGCCTTGTCACCAGAATCATGGCATGCAGTGTCACATCATGTTTTTTACCCTGAATGATGATCAAGTCCAGGGACATGAGTCAAGGGTCCTAGCATCACAAAAATTCAGGGACCAGCTTCTACTGGCACTCATCATCTGCTGCTCACAATCTATCAAATCCAGAGCTCTTATGAACTAAAAATGGAAAAGTCTTTCTGACAAGATCAAGAAAAAAAAATAAAGGGTAAAAGAAAAAAAAAATAAAGGGTGAAAGAAACACTTGACAATGTCTGACGATCCAAAGAAAAGGATAAAAATTTAAAAGTAAATTTAATAGTTAATAAGTTTGAATAATTAGAACTATTTTTCAAATCATATTCTTGCAAGGAAGGTATTTCTTATACCATCACATCTTCACATAAAAAGTATTAGGGAATTGCAAAGCATGATTTCAACAGCATCATCCAAGCATGCAGAGTACTGAAAAGCACCAGCATGAGGGAGGCCCACAATCCACCTGTGATTGCAAACTTTCCCTTACACATGGAAAGCCCACAACTGCAGCAGCTTGTTTTGAGCAGAGTGACATAGACAAAATCTGAATTTCTAAGAAAGATATTCTGAGTCAGACTAAAGAGCTGTCAAAATCTTGAAGCTGCCTCCAGTGGATGTCATCAGTGGGATGAAGAGCATTGAAGAACATGTAGTCATGAATCCCTAAAATATTGCTCCTTCTTTAAATGCTTGGTGACTCTATTTAGAAGTATGCCAGAAGATTTTTCTTTTATTTTTTTCCCTTAAATCTTGAAATCCTTGTAATCTTTTGGCATCCACCCATCCTGTTGCAAAGAATTCTTCAGCCTTATCACGTTGTACAGACTCTTCCACTGCCACACACTGTGTACATTTCATGTACCCTGTTCCTATATTGTAAGAGACTGTCAACAGTAGCTCTTTATGCCACCCATAAGCCTTAAATAAACCCTTGGTCATCAGTTTTCCATGCTGAAGGCTCCTGTTCTGAATATTTTACCCTTATCTTTAAATACCTTACTCCCTCAGGTTTCCAGACAATAATTTTTTCCACAAGGAAGAGCAAACCAGTTTCCTCAAGCAGGCAGTATAAGTGCCAGACCCTGAACTGTGTGGCAAAGGGATGCAATTGTTTTTCTGCACAGTGAACGAAAATGAACAGCTTGTCTTCTAAAGGAGCCACTCAAAGTTACCCTGGTTGAGTGGGAACTGATAATACACAGGGAAAACACTTGAGACTTTTTCCACATACTGAGTTTATTCTTGGCTAGATACCCAGTTTAGCTTTACATTAAAACCTGGACTTTGGGCTTGCATTATGTATGAGAATCCAGATAAGTTTACAGTGCTAATTATTCCACACAAAAGAAAACCTGCCATTAGCAATTCAATGCATCATTTACATCATCAAAATAAAAAGAACAATTCCCTTTCTTCTAATAAATTTGGGCATAACAACTGCATCACTTTACCAGTTTAGCTCCTTGCTTTTAAGTTACTGATTTGCAGGTATGCTCCTATTAACTGCAACAATTATGAAAATTAGTTCTATCACATGAACTTTTGACTGGGATCCATTACAATGCCATTCTGCCTCTCCCACTGCATCTAGTATATCATGGTTTCAAAGTTCAGGTGCTTTGCAAAAGCAATTTATTTGCCATGGGCATGCCCGAGGTACTGGTTTCTTACTTTACTACAAGAGACATCCTCCAGAGCTCTATCAGTCTGAGAGGGTTAACAGAAATTAATGCACAGAACAGGGGGTTTTGGTGTTGTCAGCAACAAACATTTCCCCATATATGCAAGAACTAAGATGTTGACCAAGGAGTGTTGATTATGGCACTACTTTAAAGAATCTGTAAATCATAATTTTGTGCTAAGTAATGCACAGAGCAACCTTGGCATTCCTGTAAACTGTTTAAAATTTAAGTATTAAAGAGCTTGTAAGAGTGAACAAGGGACACAAAGGGTGAACACTGGCAGGTAAATACAGTGAGAGAAGACAGAAGTCACAGCCTCCTATTTTAGCAGTCTCAAGTAACATTTAAAGGCACATCTTGAACAAGTGCCCAGGGCAATGAGACATGTAGGAAGGACAGGAGAAGTTCTTCCTATTATTAGGCTCAAGAGAAAGAATTGAAAAGAGGCTCTCTGACTCAGTGAGGAAGAAACCCTGGGAATCTGGCTTACTTGAGCCATGGTGACAACACAGGAATATTCTGCAGCAGAAAATGATAAAGAGGAAGATCATATTCAGTAAGCTCAACCATATTAGAAACTAAAGGCACAGGATGCAGAGCCTATGAAATGAACAGTGATCAGTGAGCTGGAACAAAAACCATAAGTTTTCAAGTCAGGCTAAAATAAAAGGGAAAAAGGCAATGCCATGACGGGATGATCTCCAGAAAATGTCACCATATCACAAATACACTTTTTTCTTCCCTGGAAGAGAGAAAGGGCTGATCAAATTGCAAGGTGCAGAGATGCAGCCCTGTGAATACAGAGCTCCCTGCCAGGCTGTTTGCTTCACTGCTGCAATACTCTGGCCCAGACAGCCTGAAGTCATGGCCACCACCCACCAAGGTGGAACACTGACTGCTTATCCTGCAGCCTCATCAACACACACATACTGAAAGGCAAGCTCAGTCACCAGCAAAGTCCTCAGTTATGCTGTGTCTCAACTCACTGTCACAGCCTACAGAATCTATTTGTTTGTTGTTACAGAATGCAAGACAGAGATCTCAAAAGCACCCCTATCACTGAACTCCTCCTAAACAAAGTAACATAGAATATTCAGATTTACAAAAGTAACATATTCATTTTCAGTTAAGCAGCTTTCCCAATGATCAGCACACTCATAAAAAACACCATGATAAAGAAAATCCACATGAAAAACCTGTCCATCACTTTTGCAACTTTTTTCCACTCAATTCCTTTGGCCCGGTTTGCTTTATGATCTCTAACACAATTAGCAATATACTCAATATTTTTAATCAGCATTTTGTAACAAGAACAGCAATTAGCATTTTCACCATGGACTCCATAGCTTTTATTCCAATTTCCATTGAGCTTCTCCTTGAGATTGCAGTCATCATTCCTAGTGGAAAGAGGACTCCCTACCTCTTTGTGCCTCCTCTGACCCCCATCATCCCCCTCTAACCTACATTCTTCTTCCTTCTCTCTTTTCGGACTTGTGCAATTTTCACCCACATCATAAACAAAAAAGATTTTTGACATATAGTCCAAAATAACCACCTTGGCCCACTGTGGAACAGGCTTTGCTTCTGAGCCACAATGATGGAGATTCATTATAATGATTGTCAATGCAGTGGAAGCTGTGATCATGGTCATCGTTGCTATGTAGTACTTCCCTAGAACACAAAATAAAATTATATTAAAGATATTACTCTAATTAAAAAAAATTCAATGAGACACAACAGTGTGATAACAGGTGCTAAGCATAAATGCAAGAGAAATAAAATTTTAATCACCCTAATTCTCTTAGATCACGATTCACCATTTAAAAACAAAGATAAAAGCCATTAAAATAAAATCTCATACTCATTACTGGCATGTCTTTATCAGATGAGTGTATGACTACTGTATTAGCATGGTAAATATTTGTGAGCTAAAATCTCTGACTACTTGAAACACATCCATTCAGAAAGCAGCTCAAAAATGTTTCTCAAGAGCCTTGTTCTTTTCATAGTATCTGCAAAATCCCCATGCCAATGGCTTCAAACAGCACCTTGGAGATCCCATTTCCTCAGGTATTAACAACAGTGATGACCACACTTTGTTTGAGCTATTGATGGAGCCCACACCAGCAGATCCATGCTCTCACACTCAAACATGTGAATAGGCAGACCTTGCTGGCATCCCCAGCCAGTGTGCTGCCAGCCCCGAGGTCAGAGCACAGAGCTGGAGAGAACACAAGCTGTGCTCCTCTGCCCTTGCTTTTGGCAACTGAAGCACACAGCTGAGCACCCAACCAACCTGTGCAGAGAAGCAGCTCCCAGCCCTGCAGCTCTGCAGGAGAAGCAGAGCTGACAGCAGCAGCACAGACAAGTGTGCCACAGACAAGGGTGACTGAGCCCAGTTCCAAAGGGGTTGGAACGGATGGCAAGGGAGAGCGTGGGAATAGAGACAACAGACTGAACTAGGTTCCTTTCTCTGCACATGAACTTTCCCGAACTCCCAGACTGAAATTAAATTTCAGCATAATGAATTCCCAGGAACTATAATCCAATGTAGCAATTGTCAGATATTAAGTCAACTGTGAGTGTGCCAGCCAGGCCATCCAACCGTCTGGATCTGACAGAAACATATCTTGAAACAGTCTGACCTTGTGCTTATAGCTTTTGATTATACCTCATGTGTTAGTTCTAAAATTGTTTTCCATTACCAGTTTTATTTCAAGATGTGATAGCATAATTCGAAATCTCTAACTATATTTAATAAATATAAAACAAAATAGCTAATGTATAATTTAAAATAAACACAAAATAACTTCTAAAAACTGCAGCATACCTATACAGATTCCACACATATTTTAAGTACTTCACTATGTTTCAAAAATGTAGCAAATTTATCTTCCCAGAAATCACAAATTACATGAAGATTCCCTGACATACAACTCTGCTATTAATAAGTCATGCTTAAAGACAAAGTGTGTAAAGCTCACCTATCAAAGGTACATTTTCAGATGGGGGCATGATCTCTGCAACCATCAGCTGGAACACAGTCAGAGCAAGAAGAACTGTAACACCCAGAGACACTTTCTCACCAGAGTCTGCAGGGAGATAGAATCCCAGTGGGGCCAGGAAAGAGATCAAAATGCAGGGAAGCAACAGATTAAATATGTAGAAAGAGGACTTCCTTTTCAAAATCAGCGTGAAGGTCACATCTGGATAAGGCTCAGAGCAGCAGCCATAAGTGATGACATTCTTAACTGCTGGCATTCCATGAATCTCCCATTCCACATCTTCTATGAAGTCAGAGAGGTCACCACTATCAAGAGAATTGATGAGGTCTACCTGATTACCATTATAGGTCCAGGACCCAAAGGTAAGGTTGCACTGCTGGCTGTCAAAAGGAAAATAAGACACATCCACTACACAAGAGCTCTTTGTGATAGCAGGTGCATCCCAAGTGATTTTTCCGTCATATCTCAGCACTACATTAGTATTTACTGGTTCTGAAAAGTCATCATCAGCCCTAAAAGACAGAAAAATGGCAGTCAGGATTGACAGACAAAAATTTAAGGGTGAGGGCCAGAGAAGGTGGGCAATGGGGAAGACCCTCCTTTTACAACATTAAAAGCATGTTTCTGAAATCATATTTACACTGAATTTTAGTAGGAACTTACTAATAACCATTATTTACAGGTATGAATGCCCATGAATGCCAAACGTCAGTGCTGATGAGTTATGTTGCACTTGTTGGCCATAGTTCCTTCAAACTTGACCTCAAACAGAACACAGTAGGATAAGAGTCCATTAAAAGATGAAAACAGTCTGTAGGTCAGTATTGGCCTGGGAGAGCAGACAGAAGTGCAGCCTTTATGTATCATCTTTTTGTGGACAATCCTCCAGAGTTCTCTAGGAGCCTTAGCAGAAAGCACCTCAGACAGCCAGGGTATTCAATTCCCAGTGCAGAGAAATTCAGAAAAGCTTTGTTGTATAGCATAATTTTCAGATCTTGTCTATAGCTTTATTGCAAAATATTTAGATTGTCAACAACAAATGTTAAGACAACAAACATACCCTTTGCTAAGGTAAGGTAGAGAGGAAAGTTCAGAGTCTGTAGGCCAGTTTCTCCTTTAACCCCCTCCCTCCCTCCCTCAAATATGCAAGCTGATTTTCTCCAGCCACACTCACTTGTTATATAGGACAATATCTGGTCTCCAAACCAAATTGCTTGGAATCCTGATGGAATCCAACCCATCATATTTATCTTTGTCCCATCTGAGGTATGCATCATACCAGCTCTGTCGAATCCATAAGTAAGCTGACAAAATTTGGTTCCTTTCATCCTGCATAAAAATGTAGAAATATTTCTAGCTGAAGGTGACAAAATCACATCTTAGACACAGACAGCATTTGTGATGTGCCTTTGATGTAGAGCTCAAAACAGGCCAGAATACTAACAGGACACAAAATAATTCTCAGACAGGAATCTAGGCCCGTACACTGTACAGGAAAATCACTGGTCTGGACTTTCACTTGTGCAAACCTTCACCTCTCAGCACCCTCCCTAATTATAATCACAGTATCTAATGCTCCCAGTTCTTCCTAATTTCCATTTGCAAGCTTCAGAATAGCAAATAGCTAACAGATCCAGGCTCAGAAATTCTTTGAGAGCTTGGCGAGGCCTTGAAATTATAATTCAGAAGTCACAAAAATAATCTTTCCTTCTCCTTCCAGATACATTTTCTTTTGCCTTAAAAGTGTATCTAAAAAAAACAAAAACATATTTATAAAAATTACTGAAGGCTAATTTTAGGGATTTTATGTAGAAATTATTGCCACTTAGAAAAAGCATTTGCTATATTTAAAACTCAGCAAAAGTTGCCTGGAGGGTGTGATACCAACACCTAACTACAAAAGTCTTAAAAATTCAGCAGCTCCAAGTTTCCAGACTCATAATGGAGGCCTTAAGTGATGCAACCAGAGAAGAATGTACAAAATCTGGAGAACAGAGCACACCCCCAAGCCCTCAGCCCTCTCCCCTGCCCCAGAGGAAGCATTCCTGAAGTTGTCCCAACAAACTGAAGGCTGCTTTTCCTACTCCAAATGAAAGACTTCCATCTAGTATATTCCTGCATATTTTTAGAAAAACAGAACTCTACTTTTACTCACCATGTCTTTAATTTGGGACAACGTGATCTGAAGGGTGACATTCAGTACTTTATCTGTGTCTTCCACTGGTCTCAGAGCATTGGAGTAGTCTTCAAACAGTTCATTAAACAGCATGTGAGCGTATTTCCCTTTGGCTGATTCTACAGCTATAAAACATGGACTTGTTCAGTACATGAGATTAAGCACTGAGCAGCATCAGAAAACACCTTCTTTCTACTGCTTCAAGCAGTATTTGCTATAACCATATTTATCATTCATATATGGTAGAATATCATTAGTTCAGATACAGAAGAGTACCTGATGGAGTTATTCAAATAAAGACAGCGTTCACCTGGAGCAAGTGAATAGCTAACTTGAGCTTTTCACACCCACTGAAAAATACTGGATATAGCAATCCTTACATTTTTTGAAAGTAAATATAATTCATTTTATGAACTACTCTCACAGGCAGATATTACTGACTTCCAGTCAGCAAGGTCTGAAATGACACTTACTCACAGGCTAATGGTTTTTGGTATGTCCCCAAACGCAGCACTGGTAAGATTCCTGCTACTTCCAGAATTTAGTATTTTTCTTTTTAAACTACCACCTGCAAAATGTCTGAGCTGCTTTTCTTCACAAGCTGGCAATTGCTTAATGTGTGAATACATCTGTGCACCAACATCTTTTCCAAACCGTGTATTTGGAGATGCTGCTTGCTATCCAAACTTAGATACTAAAGATAATTGACTGAAACTAGTGGTTTTAAATTATACTTTTGCTGTTTCATACTGTTTTGTACATCGCAGTTTCTCTAGGTAGCCTCTTTATATAGATACACAAATTTCTGCAAGCAAAGGGAAAGGACAACAGAACCACTCTGTAACAAGCCACCCCCGAAGGTGGGGTAACTGAGGTTCTTCATCGTAGATCCCTTGGGATGGGTAAGAGTGAAACAACACTAAACAACTGGTTGTGTATAAATGCACATATTTATGTGTGGCAGGTTTATTTGAGAACAATTTGATGCAATGCTGTCACTACAGGGAAAACAGAAACTCTCCAACAACGTCTTTTCCATGTTGGAGAATTAGACATTACTTTATTCTGGATGTTATTCTGAGCAGGACATGCAATGGAAATTATTTCATCCACACATGCCCGGGTTGTGCAGTGAAAAGCATTCCATCCTACATGGTTCTTTACCAGACTTTTCACCTATTTACACATAAAAACCCCAAAGTAATTCACGTTTACTAGTTTTAAATTACACAGTTCTTAGAGTTCAATATTTTATTGGTTATTGATCCCTTTGCCTACCGATACAAATTCGGCTCTCATTCCTTGGTTCTCTTATCAACCTTTTCCCAGACCAAGTGTCTCCGGGGCAGTAATGCCCGTTAATGTTCCTTTATTTCCTGGGTACCTCCTGGCTGCTCCCCAGCTGTAGATGTTAAACCCATCAGACCTCACCCGCTGAACAGCCTTTTGAAGACTAACTTCAATTCCCCTCCCCCGGGCAAAGGCGAGCAAAGCCCTGACTAAAGTTACAAAAAACAATCTTAAAAGTTGCCTCAATTCCAGTAATGGGAAAGAGGTACATAGGCGTATCGGTTATTAGCTATAGAAATGAAACAATATAAAAGCATAAAAATTACACTTAAGAAAATACAGAAGAAAGAAAAAGAAAGGATGAGAGTAGATAATGGAGAGGGCCGATATCACCATACATGATAAGAAGCATTATCCCGTCTCACAAGACCTGCTTTTTATCGGTGTTCTCCATTATCTGGTTCAAAGCCCAGCTTGTTGCCAAACAAGGGTTAATTTGTCCTGGCGATCTCTGGTGATGGGTGCTCACCCGCTTTGTGCCCACCTTCCTCCCCTTTGCAATCCCGCTCCCCGGAGCACCCGCTGCTTTTGCAAATGGCCAATTGTTGGAGTCGTTATCACTTCAGCGCTCCTGCGGGACTCGAGCGAATGCCAGGTGGCAATTCCTAGGGAACAAGTGCTTTGGAGCACATCTCTGGTCATTCACACCTACTTCCCGGACTAATTACGAGTTCAAAGCAAATCTTCCTGACTAAAAAGATATCCCAACAAATCAAAACTTCCCGAAGAGCGCTGCAATTCTGGTCGTACGTGATCGTTTTGTCCATGCATCAAACACAGAGTTAAACTAAACAGATCAAACACTTCTGGGGCTCAGCCAGGTAGGGTAGATCAGGTCACAAGATCCTATGTGAATAAGATAAACTTCAGTGCAACATTTAACTAGCAAGCAGTATTCTCACCTTTGAGTATCACTGCTGCGAACAGCAACCACAGAGAGACGTAAAAGGAGGAGAGGCTCCCCATCTTCATTTCTGGACCTTAAATAAAACTGTTCACCCAAGGGCACCGAAGTGTTTACCACGTACAAAACTACCCAACGAAGTAAATGAAGCTGTACAGCAGCATCCAGGTGCTGATACACGGATGCGGCTCCAGAAGCAGCTCGTTCGTCCCTCGCAGCTGTCAGAGTCGCGCAGCGATCGTGGGCTCTGGGGCTCTGCTGAACCCTCCCTCTCCGAGTAACCTGAGCGCTGCCTGCTCCCAAGCTGGGGCTGAGACAGAAAACCAACACATTGGGTATCAGTGCAAAAACTGTATTCCATAGCCATTTTACTACAAATGCAAGATTTCATCCCATTTATGACAAATCCTTTTATAGTTCTTTGGAGGGCTTTGTTTTATTGCACTTATATTCTGCAATAGCCCTCTCAGAACCAGTTCTATGGAACTTGTGGACCTTCACAAGAAAGTGATCTCAGTACTTTAATAGGAATAGTAACAGTGTACATCACACATCCAATGCCACACATAAAAAACCCCAATGCCCACGGCCACTCCTATGCTGATAAAACAAAGGTGTTGCCAAGGTTTTGCCACATTACCAAGGTGTTGCCACATGGAAGAGAGGCAGTTACACCAAAGTCAGAAAACACATTTAATATTTGCAGTAGCCCAATATCACTGTGCAAACAAGAACTTTAACAGGTCTAGACAACTTGGAGACCAGTACTCAGCACAGTAAATCAGAAGCAAAACTGGACTTTGCAGGTAAAATGCCCTTTCCCTTATACAGTACAATTTTTCACGGGCAAACTTGACAAAAAACAATTACATTTACTGGACCACACTTACATTTAGTCAAAAGAGTTTCAGGAAAAAAATATGAACATGAAACAATACCTCACCTGGCCTTCCATCTCACCCTGATGGTCAGAACTTCAACAGCTCTGTCTGTATTACTCATGTTGTCAGGTTATCTTCCTAGTACCACAGACATTTTCTTCCAAGTTTCTCAGACAAGAGGAGATTACTTTCTCCTCTCCACAGTCCAATCCATCTTTCATGATATACTGCAGTCCATTCTACCATCCTTTTAGAGCAGATAACAGAAGACAGTCACTAAAACAGAAAGTGAAAATATAGAATGAGCTACCAGGGAAAAAATTGGTCCAGACTAGTCCTGATCCACAGAGGTCATAAAATATTGTTGTTTTACTCTTGCATGGTCTTTTGGCCGGAAGAAAAGTTATCCCTCCATACACATAATTTCTATACAGCAGCACTACAAGCAGTCACTGGCTAATGTTTGTGCTTTTGTGGGATTTATTAATCAATTACATTTATGGCCAGGTTTACTAGGTAAGCAATAAATAATTTTGGTCAAAGCTCCTGTAATGAAATCCATCTCTGTCATTTAATTTGAAGAATTGTCAAAGGAGTAAAAAAGTAGAAAACTGTTTAGAAGTCAAAAAGGTCAGAACAGCCCCTAGGCAGTATGTAATAACTTGCATTCTCTGTGGGATGAAGGTATGTGAAGCTAGAGACAACAAATGTGGACAGAAGAAAGATTTTTGGGTACAGTCAGAGAAGTGCATTCTCAGGGGATAATTTTAGTCTACAATAAATTGCCATTCTGTCAGCAAGGAGCTACTGCACAACATCTCTTACTGTAATCACAAGGGTGATGAGGGGTACTGCTTGAAGAGAGTTGCTACAAACACTGCTGGAACCAGGACTAGCCTTGCTCTGCCACAGGCTTGAGACAACCGTGTGGCCTGTTACACCAGCAATACACACATGTCAAGCAGTGTGGACTGATGTACTTCAATCAAACATACAGACAGGTAAACACAAGCACACATATATATCAGACATGTTTGTTACATTTGAGATGCCGCATTGATTGCACAGTGCTTGCAAAAGTAAACCAAAACATCTCCAAAAGCCTTTTCAATATTGAAATTTAACAATGTTAGTATGACAGACCATCTGGCTTCTTTATGTTTGTTCACAAGACATCTGATTTGTATTTTTAATCAAAATATCCCTAATGTGTATATTTTGTATGAATGTCGAGCATTAACATTAATTTCTCGTTGATCTGAGAGATTCTTCTACAAACCTACACTTCCTCAAAACATAGTTTTTAAGTTTTGGCGTTTTATAAGGCAATACTAGCCCCAGATCAAACATCCCATTTAACTTTTCAATGAAGCTTAAATTTATAAAGAGTTGTCATTCTTTACTGTAGAAAGTTCTGCTATCAAATCAGAAATGAATACAAGATACGAAGCCGCTTACAAAGATAATTTAAGAGGAGTGCCGGGTGTTGGGAGGTTAGAATGAAGCCATCAAGCACTCCCAGAGGGAGAGTCGTTCCCAGCAGAGCTCCCCGGGATGCTGTCAGAGTCCTGTGCCAGCAGATGGCCCTGTCACCCAGCCTACCGATCACCCAAAAATCCCATCGCCTTTCAGCCGGCTTCCATCGGCTTCGCGGACCCTTTGCCTTACATTTGATGTAAGCCACGGTGAGCCAAGGCGTTCTTTTAAAGAGAAAGACGAGCAGAAGGAACCAAACCGTTCGGTGGCTGAATCCGGGCTCGGCAGGGCTGAGCCCGGCCACGGGGGGCTCCAGGGGAGGGAATTGCAGCCGTGCCATGCCCGGGAGCCGGCACCAAGCTGGGCACAGCTGTGCTGCTTCTGCCCGTGCGGAGAGCGACTGAGGCACACGGCACAAGAGCCAGCCCCGCTCGCTCCCACGTATTTTGTTCCAACATTTGACTTCGTGGGAATGAGTCTGGGCTATTAACAGAGCAATTAACACTCAGTGGGACGAGAATGGAGCATTCATTGGTGCACTGAGCTTGTGCACCACTCACTTAACACCTGAAACTTTTTGTGCTTCTAGACACACGTATAATGTTATGTAGACAGCATCAAAAAATAGAAATAGGACAGACTGGAGATGACATAAGAGAGATCTCTTTCATATTAAAACTTCCAAAGTTAGATATTTATCTTAGCCAAACTATAAGCAATGTAGGTAAGAAGTGTAAAAACATATTTAGAATTTTGTTCTTTCAATCCTTCTCCTGCATAAAATGATAATTTGCTCTTGAGCCTAAGGTTTTTACATGTACATTTTCAGAATTTTTTAATGGATTCTTACCCTTTTTTGCATAAAAACCATTAAGAGTTTTCAGCCTTCAACTGGAAAAGCTGCAGATACTGTACAGGCCTCAAGGCTGCCTGTACCATTTATAATCCATCCCTTCATCAGAGAACAATAAAGAAGAACAGATTGGTTTCTAAGCACAGTTTGTAAGAAATGTCTCACAGTCTGCTTCTACTTGCCTTCCTGCCAATTTTTCCCCACAGAAGCTGTTGCATTCACTTTCTTCACAGCATTTGCTACTGAATATTATCTTGTGATGGGGTCAAGCAGCACACTAACTGTTCAGAGTCAGACTTCTCTCCTTAGACTAACTGGTTTTAACAGCAAGGGTAACAACAGCTGAGAGCACACAGCACTTCATTTAGATGCAACATGTTCCTCTCCACCTCATTTTTTCTCACCCACCTACTGCCTCCTCCTTCCTTCTCTCTAAAAATCCCCTACCACCCGAAACCAACACACTCATTCATATTTTCTTCCACCCTGCTGTACACACAGAAGATAGGAAATACATTAGGAGAGTTCACAATTCTAGCTCATGAGATAATGAAGAATATTAGCCACATTTTCCAGAGGTGGGAAATCCTCATTTGCATGTTACAGTTCTGGGGTTTTCTGAATATAAATTTTTTTGGTGCACTTACACAGGGAGCTCTGCCAACCACCTCCCAGCCCCTGAAGAGAAACTTTCTGAACCTAGAAATCTGGTATTACTTAATGTGATCTAATATGCAGCAGGTTACCCCTTTTCCAGCACAATGCTTACATGCTCAGCAGTATTTTGTCCATCAGTATCTGGCAGGGTTAAGGACAAAGCTAGTTTATAATTTAAGGTATCAGAAAGCTATTTTATACACAGCTCTTTCTCATTGGGATAATTTCCAGCTTGGAACATGCCTTTGAATGGCCAATTGCAGAATCTGAGCCCTACACAAAGGTAACCTCTGGGCTTAGACACAAATCACAAGTTTGCTCCGACAGGCAGCCTGATGCTCCAAACCAAGCTGAATTAGGGAAAAAATTCTAGGCTGTTACAAGTGTGCTGAACATCTTCCTCCTGATGGTCACTCTTGAGCCATGGAAGGCAGCACACCACCTCAGCTTTTGGAGCAGAAGGAAGTCTCCCAGCTCCCATTGCAGGCTGAAGACAGCTCTAGGTGTCCCAGCTTGTATGCACATCACAAAAACCCCCAGACATTAAACCAATGTCTGAAGAGGCAACATTTTAGACACTAATTCAAAACTGAAGTTTCACTCTCTCCAAAATTTAGAGGTTGATAGGAACACCCCTTTAAAACACTACCAAAACTCATCATGGCCACAGGAGTACCTGCATAGAGGGTTTAGCATTCCCTGAAAACATATGCCTTCCTGGTAAACTCACATCCACCTTGCAACACAAAATATGGCACAACCTCATAGGGAGGACACAACTCTAAATTACCACAATGCATTTAGGCCCAAACAAATCTCCCTGTGGGATAAAGCAAGCAGCAACTACTCATCTCTGAGGGAAAAGAACTTTTGATAAACCATGTGTTTAGTTACTGAAACATCTTGTGGTACATGGGCACTGACATTCTTTAAAATGTCCTAGCATGAACAACCTACATTATGCTGTGGTTTAAGCAAAAATATTTCCTCTTGAGCAAAACATTGTAGTAAACCTGCTGATTTATTCAAACTCTGCAGCTATACTCATTCTGGCACAAGAGTGTCATTTGTATCTCATGAACAAAGCACCACCATTTCAGCTGAAGACAGCATCACTTTTCTGAAGTATCTGTAAGCAGAGTGGCTCATTTCAATACATTTGTTATGGGTTGAAAAGAAGAAAACAATATAATGTTTTTGG